GGGGGGGGGGGGTGCGACCGAACTCGAGCAGCGTAACTGGCTTGCGCGGGACGGATCAAACCGATCCTTCTATTATGTTTTGGAGAACTTTTTTGCAATTGACTCGGGCTGCTTCTCGAAAGGTCTACTAAGATGCAGCTCAAAATATACAGCAGCATTGGGTAATAATGTTACGTAACAAATTTTTGTATCATTTTCAATTTGCTCGTGTAAAGAAGAGAGAATGAGCATAATGGAGAAATGAAACAAGTTTAACATACATGGATTTGTATGTGGCTTATCATTGTCACGGATAAATTATCATGAACTTTGATATATAAACACACATGGTTAAAATAATGCAAAAAACCAAATTAAAAGATCTTCTAAAGATCTAAAGATTAGATCTTCCAAGCTTTTCTGGGGGATATGAAGAGTGGCAGAGCTCCTAGAGAAACAGAGCGCTTCGACAGTAAGAGCGCTTGCGCTTCAACAGTATATGAAATAAAGTGAATTTGATAAGGTGCATTTCATATTATTATTGTTATATTGTCTTATGATTGTTGACCTATGGCTCAACAAACGGTTTGTGCCTAAAAAAAAAGAAACGATTTTCAAAACCGTGCCCAATAACAGTTTCCTTGAACTGTCCCAATAACAGTTTAGATCACTGAACAACTGATTATGAATCCACCCAAATTCTACAAAGAACTCACAAATCTTAACAATCAAAAACTACGCGAAGACACGATGGCCTCTGTGTAAAGCTACATTGCAGAATGCAACTCACAAATACCCAATTGGTGGGTGAGCAATGTAACCAAAGCAATCGAAACAATGAATAACAATCAAGAACCCCTTTCGGAAAACTTCGGAGAAGGCGACAACAATCATTCTGTCAATGCTCATCCGAATCAAACAAATCAGAAATCGATTCACTCATACACTGTACTCTTTTTCCCTTGCCTATGTTTTTATCCAATGGTTTTCATATGGTTAAGGTTTTTAATGAGGCAGTGTTTTCTGTAAATGTTGAGGTTCATAAAAAGCAAATGTTCCCGAGTATTGAGAAGAATACAACAAATGATGCGTCTAAATTCATCAAATATTTAAATGTCAACAGATGTTACGACAGCTGAAACTTGTCTACTTTTTAACTGAATTTCAATTTGACCCTCAAGAATCTCCTACTCCTAGCGCTTTTGACTCCTCTCAAAAGTGTCTGCAAGTTCCTACAGACAAGAAGAATCACTACGGCATTGACCTATGAAATTGGGAATGGAAATTTGGAGTTGGAATTGGGATGCACTATTTTATGCACTTAATGACGAAGAAAAACAAGAAATAATAAATTAAAGTTTAAAATTGGTTTTACATAAACATCTTATACATTTACAAATTGTCATGTTGAAAATAAGTCAAAAAAGTAAATATTTGAAATTGAATATTGAGGCAACCTCAAGGGGGGAGGGGAACTTGTTAAAGCTAATTAAGCTTCAACCAGATATGTATCCGTGGTAACAGAGTTCTATATACATACGCATTGTAAAGCTTTAGGCCCGTGTGAATAAAGTCATATCCACAGTATTATTATGAATATTATTATTAAGAAGTTGAATAGTTATTCAGTAGTTCTGATTGTTGATAAATGTAAGCAACAATCAAACTTGATAGGAACATGATTTCTGAAATCGCAGTTAGGAGAGGCCTGATCAGAAACAAGATCACAATTGGAATTTGGCTGAGAACTTTGATGAGGAGAGAGAGTCACTTTCATTACCACCATTAAAGATATACAAATTGCGAGAACGACACTGGTTACTTCTATGACCACGCCCGCCACACTTGCAATAGAGTATATTGCTAGCCGACTGAAGATGATTAGTAAACACAGCAACGTCATCCTCAGCTGAAGTTTCAGTATGACAGTCTTCTTCACATAAGAGACGAGATGTTTTATTCTCGATAGTTTGGTCACTTTTAGAAACAGATTGCCAGGCAGAAACCAAACTACAAGGCAAGGACATCTATATATTTAATATCCTAAGGCTTTTTTTGTCCTCCTTCAGTTTGGACGACAGTTTGTCCTAATTCGATCTCGGTAACTACTGGACCGATTTTCCTCGGATTTGTTTTCAATGAAAGCTCTTAGGCTGTAGATGTGTCAACACCCCTTGGTTTTTTGATTTGCGCGACCGATGTTGCAAAATTTACCTCAATTTGATAACGACATATTTGCGTTTTTGCCGCTGGACGAGTCATATGGTTGGGGGACCTCCCACCCTCTGATTTTCCGTTTCCCTCTCCACATAAACCCATCCCTACCTGCTTGCAACACGTGTCACCCTTCTACCCTGGCATGGGTCCTAGGGCAGTATCACTCCCTTCTTTATGCTGTCCGACTTGGAACACCTGCTACGCATTTCCTTCGTCGCATTGCTCATAATGAGTTCTCGGTTTGTCCATGTTTCTTATCAGTGCGTCTAGAGTTTTGCTTTCTTGATTTTGTCTCTTGTTTCTTTTTTACATTAAAATTACTTGATTTTGATGTGTATTTTTCAGGAGATAATTTTCCCTTTTACGGCAGCACAGGTTTTATTAATAATTAACTTTTTTACAACAGCTCACGTGTTCTTCCAAGAGAATCGGTGATTAATCTTTGCCCTTTCGTGCCGTTAAATTTTTACGAAGTGTTTTGATTTTCTTTTCCAGGAGTGTTTTTTTATTTTTCAAGGATATTTCTTTTTCTAGAAGTAGGTGGTTATCATTATTAGTTTCTTATTCTTTGCTTTTGGATTTATCATTTTGCTTCCAGGAAGTCCTCTAATTATTTGTAGTCGCAAAATTTGGCTCGCGAAGCGAGCGACTGGGGGTCCAGGGGGCCTGCCCTCGGCTAGCGACGCAAGCGAGCGTAGCGAGCTGCAGCAGGTAGTTAGAACTTAAATAATTATCATGGCACTTGAAATGGGCTCTTTTTCGTATTTAGGTAAGTAGGGCAGCTATAAACTGAACTTTGGAGATAAGGTTTGCGACATTACATTCAAACTTTAATTGTAATAAAATTGCTGCTGCAGCAAGTGAACGCCAACATGCGATTATTTTCTCATAAATGGAGTTGAGTTTTGTACGCGTTTCTGCCTCTGTTTCACGGTGGAAGATGTGTATCATTGGACTTTCCTCCATGCGAGTAACGATGATGGCCTGAGGTACAACGTCACTTTTCTAACACTTTGTGATTTCAGCTTTGTTAGCTCCGTCTTCTTAAGGCTCCGCTTACGGTACACTTTCATCTACAACTTTCGAAACTTGCTTTGAGTTCAGAAGAATCCTAATTTGAAATTTCCGCAGATCCCAATTCTTAGCTCCTTTCGGCTTCATGACGTTGAGTTTCCGTTCCTTGGACTTCATTTTGGCGTGTCGGATCCTGTTGCGTCGCGCTGCTGCTTGTACCTTGAGCTCTTGTACACCAAAACACTAGGCAAAGGTACTGGAATCTTGTCACAAACTTTTACGAGGAGGAAAAAAAAACTAGCGATAAACCTTCACGAAAACGGCAGCAAGAATTTTTGGGCCTTCATACGACCCGACAACATCACAATTTTCTTCTGAGTTACAAAGATTTACACATAAAACGCTTAAGAAGGCCCATAACCTATTGCAGAGTACTGTTTGCACATAAAACTATACCTAACCGCATTCAGGATGTCGATGAAAATTAAATTAAAGCGGAGTTAGGAACTTGTAAGTTGGCCAGCCATTTTATTGAAGGTGAATGCCACGCACACAAGTCGTGCAGCTGACCGTGCAAAAAGCAGGTTGCCAGCCTAAACTATTTGGGGCGATTGGAGCGATACCAGCAAGCATGTCCATCCTATTTGCAAATTGAGAGAAACGAGGAGATACCCTTCCATCCCCAAGGGAGTTTTGGGGGAGTTGATATTTTCATTGGATTTCTAGGGGTCGATTCATCCTAAGATAACTGCGACCCTAAAACTCAATTTTGAGTCGTTCTCGAGATAAAGATAACTTGGAAGTCTGGATCACCCGGTAAACAGCCCATAATGATGATACATTCATCCATTAATAATAAATAAGTCCCTTCAATAAGAAATAGACATGCCTACATTATTGAGATTTACCGCAGACATGAAGCAGTTTCATGATGAAAGAAATATATTCACCTTCAAGAGACATTTGATTTTCATTGGCCTACATTTATTCATGTGGAAGGAGCGCGAGATTAAATGCAGGGTTTCCTTCACTTCAGTTAACCCAAAATATGACACATTTTGCGGAACACCTATGATGCGAGCAGTATGCCTTCCGTCTACATCTGAAAACATGCAACAATGGTGAGTGAAAAATCATATTTTCATCAACCAACTCTGATCAATGTAACTGAAAATCTAGAATAATTCTGAAACGAGGTTGCAGGTAGGTACGGAAACAATACTCATCTTGATGGGTGTTCATAATTATTCTCAGTAGGCTTCTCTCATGTAAGGATGAAATTTTTTTCTAAAAATCCGCTTTCAGTGAAAAGATTCAATTTATTCCAAAAAATCAATTTCATATTATAATTTTTGGCAGAAAAAAATGTTCTCAATTTTTGCACCTCACTGGATATTGTCTTCCAAAATTAGACATTATAATCCATGCTTTCAAAAGGACCCTACAACAAAACGGCCAAATCGGCCTAAACACGGAATCGTAAGATTTTCTCAGGGATGACAGAGGGTCTTCCCAGACACTCAAAACTGGTCATATTTTTTGCCTAACCTCCAGGGAAAAGGGGGGAGAGGGGGTCAAAGTCAAAACCTTTAAATTAGCATAACTTCTCAACGGTTTGTCGTAGAAAGATGATCTTGGTGTCAAAATTTCCAGAAAAATGAGAGCTTTCAGAATGTATGTATGAAATTAATTAAATTATGGTTCGCAAGGATCAAAACAAACAGAATTTCAAATGAAAGTAGAGCGTTTAAGCTTTAAAACAAGCCCAAGATGATCTTGGGGAAACGATTAGAAGCGGAGTTATGAGTCTTCAAAGTTGACGCGGCGCGCGGGAACCTTGTATGTTCCGAGTCTCAAGGTCAGCTGCGCGCCCCGGATTGCCTGTGTTTTTATGCTTCTGTGGGTCATTTTTAATTCAAATCATTCAATGAAGATAGAATAATGGACATTTTTTAATTTTACGGGAGGAGCGGGAGGGGGCTTAGAGTATCAACCATTATGTCCATCATACCTCATTAAACATTTGCTGACGATGACGATTCTGCTCTTATAATTTAGAAGGAACCATGGACCCTCAGTTCAAATATACATAGGCTCCATACAGAACTGAACCATTTAGAAATTATAACCCATTGATGCCAAATTTTGGGGTACCCCTAATTTTAAAATTTTTTAATTGAGATATAAGCTACAGCGCTTGACGGAACTCACTTGGTAAAGCCAAATAGTTTCTCGTAGAAGCAGACGAGCTTTGAGCTTCAAAACAAGTCTCAGTTATTCTTGAGGGGGCTATTTGAAACGCAGTTAAAATTTTTTGACGTTAATGTGGTGTACCTCGCCTAAGGCCCATTGTGTAAATTTAAAAAATTCTGATTAAACTATCTTCATTGAATGATTTACATTAAAAATGACCCACAGAAGCATAAAAACACCAAAACTTGCAACCTGCAGGCAATCCGGGGCGCGCAGGTGACCTTGAGACTCGGAACATACAAGGTTCCCGCGCGCCGCGTCAACTTTGAAGACTCATAACTCCGCTTCTAATCGTTTCCCCAAGATCATCTGGGGCTTGTTTTAAAGCTTAAACGCTCTACTTTCATTTGAAATTGTGTTTGTTTTGATCCGTGCGAACCGAACAACCGAAAATCTCAAAAAACGAAAATTTACGAAAGGGGGACCTTGTAAAATGCCCCAAAAGTGGGTCAAATTTTAAAATTTAATTAATTTCATACATACATTCTGAAAGCTCTCATTTTTCTGGAAATTTTGACACCAAGATCATCTTTCTACGACAAACCGTTGAGAAGTTATGCTAATTTAAAGGTTTTGACTTTGACCCCCTCTCCCCCCTTTTCCCTGGGGGTTAGGCAAAAAATATGACCAGTTTTGAGTGTCTGGGAAGACCCTCTGTCATCCCTGAGAAAATCGTACGATTCCGTGTTTAGGCCGATTTGGCCGTTTTGTTGTAGGGTCCTTTGACGAACCAATTGGAATTTATTAATTTTTTCCTTGAAAAAATCAATGCGATTATTCTGATCATTTCAGCAAGGAATAAAATCTCGAAATAATCAATAAGAAATTGTCATTTCTACTCTTCTAAAATTCATTTCATAGGAAGAGTGTATTTAAACCGAATAAAACCGAAAAAGTTTGTCATTCCAGGAAAAAAACAACAAAACAGTGCCAATAATTGTACAATTGGTGCTGTTGATCCTAATTGTAAGCAAAACACAGATTCTCAGTTTTTTCTTTCAGTAAGAGCTTTTTTCTTCCATAAAGAGCATACAAAAGTAGCAAGCTCCATTACCAGCAGCTTCAAAGCGGCATCATTCTTTGATGAAATAAACTAGCAAAAATTGATAACACTGGTAAACAAAAAAATTTTTCTTTTTTTTCAATTTGCGTCGTAACTTTCATCTGTTCCTGGGTGGATTTTTAGCGCTGAGTCCTCCGTTTCGCTGGGTCTGGTCGATTTCCCCCGAAAAAATCGGGGTTTTCCCTAAAATGCAAGCTCTTCCGGAGAAAAATCAATTTTCCGGAAAATCTGTGCATGATTAAGAAAAACTGTGGTCAATTCCGGATTCAGCAGCGGGAATTAAATGGGAAGTCAAGTGTTGCATGTCTGTTGGAGTTTCCTTTCTGTTCTTAATATCAAGGTTTTTCCGGACAAGTACTCCTTTCCGCTCATATTATTACATAGAAAAATTACATTCTTCAAATGGGAGAATTTGCAACTTTATAAAAGTTGAAAAATATAAAAAAACCTGGATCATATTTTCAAAATCTGAATAAAGCAGGCTCATCTAGAGACAATTGCCTGTCGATAGCCCCAAAAAGCATGAAAATCGGCCCGGTAAAACACTGGAACTAAGCATTACCAGAAACGCAAACATAGGAGGTCTTGGAGCTTTTAGTGTAGACTAGCCGTGATTACGCCTAGCCAGGGAGTGCCCCTGGACCCCCGGTTCTTCGCTTCGCGATGAATTTGCAACTCGCTCCGCGAGCCGCCCCCGCCCCACATAGTTCTTAACTAAAATGAGAGACAACATCTCCGTCCTCATCTTCTTTTGAACCAAGATTTACAGAAATCGATGGAACAGGAGCCGAGACCGCATTACAGAGCACGCCCGCCAACTTGGATTTTGATTGTTGAAAATCGGACCAAAAATTCGAGTTTCCCGTCGAAAAATACCCCCGAAGACTGAGTTTCACGACAATAGTTGGAACAGGAGCCGAAGCAGCATTTTAGGCCACGGCCGCCATCTTGGATTTTGAAATTTTGAAAATCTGACCAAAAATTCGAGTTTCCCGTCGAAAAGTACTCATTAAAACCAATGTTCACAAAAATCCGTCGAAAGACACCCTCTGATACCTGAAACGTCTATAATGCTGTGACGTCACGCGACACGATTGAACCTATTCAGCACAGGGCGCGTAAATAACCGCGTATCCCCAATGCATTACTATACGGAGAAACAACGTTTTACGTTTCAACGCTCCTGCGGGCGTCCTGTGCAACGTTTCCTGATCGAAATAATTTTGATCAACTCCTCATTACAATAGCTATGCGTGTACAAAGTTTAAAGGAAATAGCTACGGCCAATTTTTCTCTAGGGAGGAAAGAGTGAATGGTAACGGCAGCTTTATCTAGAGTAATGTTAAATTCATCCGATTGTTATTTGTTTCAGAAAGGAGAGGAAAATGTTTTTCTCAGGCAACAAGTAATCAAATTCCGGCTCAATTTTTGACGCAGAAGTCGAAAATGACCTTCGTTCCTCTCAAAATCGACCAAATTTTTGAAATATCGATTTTTTAAAAAAATGCACATTATCAGCGCAAAAAAATCCCCTTTTTTGGAATCTTGATTTTTGGAGTTTTGGAAGAAAACGAAGGTCAGCGCAAAAAACTGAGTAGGAATAATTTCACATGTTGCCTGAGAAGAAAGAATTTCCCCTCCTTTCTGACGGAAAACAATGGGATATATAAGTTTAACATGGTGTTAAAGGGGCGGAAAGGAGTACTTGGCCGGAAAAACCTTGATATTAGGAACAAAAAAGAGACTTCAAGAGACATGCAACAAATGATTTCATAGGTAATTTTGACTGCCGAATCCGAAAATCAGTTTTCTTCAATCATGCACAGAATTTCTGGAAAATTGACTTTTCTCCAAAAAAAAAACTCAATTTTTAGGGAAAAATCGACCAGACCCAGCAAAACATCGGTCATTTTTAGACTCAGCGCTAAAAATCAACGCAGAGTCAATTAACAGTTAGGAGAAAAATTTACTCGTGTTCACCAGTGTAATCAGACAAATGTCAAAGGGTTCAGTGATAACAACTATGAAACAGTAGAGACAAAATACCTTTTAGACTGATCTTAAGGCCATTGTGAGTCATACGCTGATCAATAATCTCTCGAGCCACGAAGTCTTCATCTAGACACGTTCTTGACCTCAAAGACAAGAGAGTTTTCCATAGTTCTGATCCAACGTCCCTGGAGAAAATTAGAAATACGCTGTTTAAAAAAAGAGCTTGATGCAAAACGACATTTTCCTTCTAATCTGGATTTCTTCCAGACTCTGTATATTGATTACTCATACTTAGGCCCTTCTTCTTCCAAAACTCAGATCCCGGAAATATTTTGTGGTGACGTTCGAGGGGGGGGAAGGGGGTGTGTGGGTGTGTGTGTGTGTGTGTGTGTGTGTCAAAGAGTGAACCTTTATATCTCGCCCTGCTATATGTGTTCCACAAAGAATTCATTGACTTTTACAGATATCCTTTGAACATCATGGCAATCTGTGAACTTCTGATGATATCCGTAGTTTTGTATAAATATCCAGATTCTGCATGGGCCGCTAAAGGTTTCCATAATTCCATAGAGCTCCTGCGGTTTTCATGGAAATTCTATGGATTCCAAAGAAATTCTAATGCTTCTGTGCCTATTCTGAAGATAATACGATCACAGAGGACTTCAGAATAATCATGGAGGAGTGAATAAGAATTAGAGACAGTAAAAATGCAAAAGGAGGGACAGCAGAATAATGGAACACTAGATAAGGTACGAATTACAGCATTCTGATACATGTTTCTAAACCAAAATTTCACGTAAAACACGATTTACACAACGAAAATTACCGAAATTAACTCCTCGCGAAGATATTTAATGATTCTTGATGCGTGAATTCAAACCACCCGCTCATAAAAACTCAATGCTCTACGTGATTCACATCGCGCGCTGAACGTTATCATGACAGTCTCTACGATATACAAATCTGGAAACTTCAATCTTCACGCTTTGGCTCAGCTATAGAAAATTGCTAATAGTTTGAACAATACATGGTGGGACATGAACATTAGTCGACCGAGAAGCTTGCTGAAACCGTTGTAGTGCGCGATTTGACTTACATAGAGCTTTGAGTTTCTTGTGAGCGGGCAGTTCAAATTCCTCGTAGCCAATGTGGAATAAAAACGTTAATGTCTTCGTTAGGAGTTGGTTTAAGTAATTTTCGTTGTGCGAATCGTGCTCTACGTGAAATTCTGATTAGAAAGCATGTATTAGAATGCTTAAATTTGTACATTGTCTAGTGGTCCATTGGCAAAATCAGTGAGGTTTGCGAAAGGGACAGCACAGTCTATCCAGAAGACAAGGCTTTCGCAGAGGAAAAGAATATGACAGAGCAAATCATACAGAGGTGCCAAATAGAGCAAGAAATAGGGCGGAGGCCATAGCATTCATAACTGGTACCTTAAGAGACTCCTGCAAAAACTGTAAGTAAAAAAGAACACATTGATTTTTTTATGGACTGCGGCTGCACTCTCATCTTGCAAATGATAAAAGTTGATTTAGAAAATTGTGGTGTTTGATGATCCCGTGGAAATGTCATCAGCTAAAAAAAATTAACTTTTATGTTTACGATGGCACTACCTATATCTAATATTTCAGAGTGTTAGATGGAGAGGAAGTAATTTTTTTTTTTTTTCGGTCAGCTGATGAATTGGCCACCCAGGTCGTTCGTCATGGAAATCCTCTTATATAACGGATTGTTGGCTGAAGCGTAAGGCAATGTCGCGCCGCTTCGCAAGTAGGATTTATTAGGCAAAATTAACCAGTCAAAAACATTAGGCAAAAAGAGTGAGAGAATTTTACAGATAGTACTTGCTGATGTGTGTTCACCCAGTACCCTTGCAGTAATCGTTACCTTCCGACCAAAGTATCACAAGTACCACTTTGCCAACTTTTCAGGAGACACAAAAAACTTATTAGCGACCGCATAAAACGGAGTTTCGGCTAGGAACTTGGAATACTGCTCCAGCAAAACTTCCTGCCTCGAATTTTAATCAAATTTCTTCAAAAAAACATTATTTTCTTTGAAAATTGGCGCTTGTGATACCCCCTTCTCGAGGCATTCTGAGAACCTCTGATGCTTGTAGTATGGGAGCTCATTAAATTTAACTGAGTTTTAAAACTCTGTTAAAAGGAAAATGTCCATATTTATTAATTTTTAATAAAAAAAAAACTTATTATTTTCGTATGTAAATGCAGCTTATATCAATTCAAAACCATCCACAACTCAATAAACGGAGAGTGACGTATTGCTCCAGGTGATTTCAAGTGTTGTTGATACTGACATCATAAAAACAATCCCAAAGATGAGCGATTACCCAACTTGGCGTATGTGATACTTTGCGCTTACATAGTGTTTGTGATGCAGAAGTTCATCAACTTCAACGTACTAGTTTCCATATTTATTTATTTTTATTCTAAAAAAATTTTATATTCGAAATAAGGAGATGCATTTACATACGAAAATAATTTAGCTTCAAGTGATTCAGGGTTGCTGTAACAAAGATTTTAAACAATCAAAGAGGTGAGCAGTTGCCAAACTTGGCGCTTGTGATATTTCTCTCCCGAATGGCGCTTGTGATACAAAAGTACATCAACTTGAATCGATTTTTATTCAGATTTCTAAATTTTTCCTCTAAAATAAATTACTATTTTCGCATGTCAATGCATCTCGTTATTTCGAAACTATTCGTAACTTAATTTTGGTTAAAATGACGCTTGAGATACATAGGCCGGAGGGTGACGATATGATGGTAGTAATTATTTTGTGTCATTTAATCCATGTTTTGGAAACGTCCCCATAAGGAAGCATTAAATCTCGGTAGGGACAAATTTTCATGTGATCTTGCCGTGCGAATCATTTTACTTCTTCCAAAAACTGTAGAAATCAACTGTTTGTTGGCCAAATGCTGCGAAGGTGAACTGATCTGTCGTTTAAGGGCAAAACTTAACTCATGAAAAAGAAAGTAAATTGACAATTATGGAAGATTCTACCATGCAACTAAAGAGTAGACTCATGCTTATTATAACACTTGGTTCTGTTGAGCCTAGACTACACATAATAATATCACCCATAATACATGTACAGAATAATATCACCCATAATACATGCACATAATGATATCGGCCCATGGATGAGCGTCTTTCTATACCTTCAATTATACTTGAAATTACAATTAGGACGGCATGAGGGCTACTTGAAAAAAAAAAAAAAATACCAAATAGCAGACACCAATAAAAACAACTTACGATTCAGAGAACTCAATGGTCTTTTCCAATGCTTTCGAGGGCAATATTTTATCCACCAAGAGTCTGTGATACTCAGTCACCTCTCGTAATCTGTGAACATTCACTAAGCCTATTTTGCTGTTTTCCTGGTAAAGCCATGCAGTAGATGAGTCATTTACGTGGGTGACTTTACGAAATAATATGACTGAATTGTCACTGAAAGATTAAAAAAAAAAATATTATAATGAAAAGTTAATGCTCAACAAAATATCGCTGTTAAAAATTAGCCAATAATGAGTCAGTTAAGTCATTTTATTTTATTGTGTCATTCGAAAGTAGTAAGTGGCCGAAGCTTACAATTTTTTTCCAAATTTTTTTGATGACTGCAAACGGGAGAAAAGTTTATTCGAAAGTGCCAAAAATTAGGGAGGCCTGAAACGGCGTTTGAACTGCGCGCTCATAGGTTTCGCATGGACAAGTCACGATCAATATGGCGGCGGAATGCGTAGTGGAAGAATACACGGCGGCGTCGCGTTGGCGGTATGTTTTTGTTGGTCAATTGGAGGTTATGTAGGTTACTTTGTTTGAGATTCATATCCATTGTTCTTAATTCTCTAAGCTTTTCAATAAGAATGCGATACAGATGTATGTAGGATATGAAACATTCACACAGAACTTACTTGACCTGAAACGAGAGATTGTGATGTCAACATCGACAGCGTGGCGGTAGTAAGCAGGTCGGCTTCGGCGCCGCCATCTTCCCGTCTTTGACGCGGAGATGCGAAGATTCACGGCGGTCGGTTCAAACACGATTTCCAGGACCCCTAAGAAGGAAGCGTTATATCCCCGCGGAGACAATTTTTCGTGAAATTTAACATGCGCATCGTTCTACTCGTACCGAAAACTGTAAGATTCGACTATTTGCAGGCAAATCCCTCCCGAGCTTAACTGACTCATTGTTTCTCAATTTCTACGAGAAGATTATGATACTTGAAAAGATAATTAACCACTGAAAACCAAATGAAAATGAAGAGAACATTGACGAAGATAATTATCTAATAACAATAATCAGGTATCAAAGTGGACTCTTAGTCATTTAGTTGTCAAAGATTTTCAATTGAATTTAAAATCTTGGCAGTACTTTTTTCTCCTAAAATGTTTAGCAATCAATGCTTTTTCAAAAAGTGAAATTAATATCAAGATAGGTAGGTACAGTTTTTTATACCGTCATCAACGTTTTGTAGTAATCTGGTGGAGAACTATGCAAATTAACTATAACGTCATGTTAATTGAAAACCTTACAGTAAATTGTAAATACTTGGTACACAACAATATAAAGCAAAATCCACCGAGAACCCCAATGATCAAAATTTTACTGGAGGTTACGCTCTTCAAAAGAAAACAGGTCATTGTTCAACCACTTTTCTAATAAAAATATATTGCTGCCCATTGCAAGTAGATAATTAAAGTGAGTAGGATACCAGTAAGTTTTTATCTTTGCGGTGCATTAGTGCCCCCAAAAAATGCGGGAAACTGCCCGTGAAAAAATCGGAGACCAATAAAGTAGGAAACATTAAAAAGATGGGGAATTTGATCTACCTTCACCTTGAAATGATAGATTCAGTTGTGTAGCCAGACAATTTTATATT